GCAATATTATTTTCCTTGTAATTTAACTTCTTTAATTAATTTCTCTTTTTGGATTGAAATTTCTTTGTCTTGGGATTGTCCAACTTTGTTTAGTAGATTCAGAGCTTCATTAAACATTTTTCTTCTAATACAATATCTAGCTAATCCAAGTCTTACATATTCAGATTTATTTTTTTCATTTTTATATTGATTGTTAAGATTCTGAATTACTTTATCATATTCATCTTTATATAACAAAATTTTTGCTACTTCTGCGCCATGATCTTTTTTTCCTCCATATTTATTTATCCAAGATTTTGCATCAGGAAGATGAAAATTTTCGGCTTCAACAATTTTCCTATAACCATTATCAATATCTTGTTCGCAACCGACTCCAGAAAGGTAATGCAATCCTATTTTATATTTTATTCTATAATTAAGGGCATCATTATCATCATCCTCAATTTCTTTATATGTATTAAAAGCTACATCATGATTGGAAGAAGCAGAAGTAGCATTAAACAACTTCATTCGAATAGTTTTAAATCTTTCTTTAGTAAGGTTTGATTGCTGATAGTTTTTTTTAGCACGCTTATATTCATGATAAATTGTATCAAAGCTTTCATCATTTAGAAGTTCCTTATTCATTATTGGAAAATAATTTCTTATATTTCCTTGATTAATTTTTTAGATTATTTAGTAAAATAATATTTACTCGACAAATTTATAATAAATTTATCATAAGAGGTCATTGCTAATGGGTGCGTAATTATATTCTTTAATTTGTATAAGTTGAATCAGTATGGATATATCGATACCTGCTCTTATCAATTGAAATAAAATAATTAAATTAACAAATGTATTAATTTTTTTTTAAACAATTTAAACTATTTGGAATAATTATTTTAAATTTTGTTGCAATTCTTGTATTTTTTTTAATGAAATCAATTAAATAAATTCATTTTTGAAGAATTTATTTTTTAAAGTAAATTCAAATAAGTTCAATTATCTAAATCAATCACATTTTTACTAAAATCTCAATTTTATTTCTTATATTATCACTATTTATATTACTAAATAATTTATTTTACTAATCAACAAAATTTTTACTAAATTCACTCCCGCTATAGTCACAAGTCTTCAGCAATGTATTAATTTTTGCTTCTAGTGGGAATATGAAAGTTATTTAATCGAATACGAACCATATCACACATTTGTAATGCGTATAAGAAAACATCACAAACCCAACGATATAATGGAATACATTTGCGACTGCTCAATCACTTGTAAAACAACTTTTGGATATTTACAAACGGAGATTGAACATCGAAAGACGTCGAAATTATAAGTTAAACCAATCAAAAAAGATATACGATGGCACTTCAGATCATGAGCGGCGTTTACTGGAAAAATCTGTCACAAAAAATATTGTCAATCTTTTAGAATACCGGCCAAAATCAT